TCTTGTTTTAAATCATCAAGCCGCTTCTCCATACTTGTTTCCATTCGTCTCATTGTAGAGTCGATACCCGTAACTATTTCCAAAATCATGTTTAGCAATGCACCCGAGTTCAGATTTACATCATTGGAAGCGTCAACGATTCTTCGGCTTATCGCTCATCGACATTCTTTTGATATGATTGCTTGTTCTTAATATGTGAAAAGGTCAAATTAACTATAAAACAGCTAATTTGACTATAGTCCAAAGTCCACTTTCATTCAATGCCTAATGAACAGTTTTCAATATATACACTGTTTATCCCCCAGGGTATGCAGGACAGGTCTCAGTGAAATTATTAGTTTCTTTGTTATCAAAAAACTTCTAATATGGGTTCTAGATCTCCGAAATTCAGACAACAAGCTTAAAAAGTATAATATTCACAATTGCCGAAATCTTACTCCAAAATCTCCAGTATAACTATCCAAAATCCATATTTTTGTTGAGAGAGTAACAACACTTCATTTTCTTTCTAATCACGTGACAAAAGTTTTTTTTTATAACCGACAAATACATACATGAGGGTATGGATGGATGGTCCCTCATTTCTGTTTTCTTTAATTTTTCGCTCATTATTCTTTTAAAATAATGGCTATTCTGTAATTACTTGATAACTGTGGTCTGGACATTGTTCTTTTCTGTAATCAGTATATTTTTACCAAATTCTTTATTCTTTGCAGTTATTCTTTATATTTTAGCACCAAATTATTCTCTATTCTTAATTTTTTTTGCCCATTTTTATCTATTTCTTATCCCCCCCCCCCCCCCCCATTATTCTCTATTCTGTAAACCCCATTCACACACTCATACATTTACACAATTAACATACAAAATACTGATATTAAAGCATAAAGAACATAAAAGATATAGTTCATGTACAGTTAGGCAAGTTCATGCACAGTTAGGCAAGTTCATGCACAGTTAGGCAAGTTCATGTACAGTTAGGCAAGCACAAGTTGGGAAATGGATGGAGTGGGACAATTTTGCTGTAAGGCAAGCAAATTAATAAAACAAATGTCAGAACTCCTTTCTACTGAGAGATCTTTTCGCATACAGACTAGGGTATAGCAATATCGTCATCATTTGAACACATCCCGTTCCAGCAAAAAAAAACTTTTGCTAAAGTGGGGCGTCATTTATTGCTATGCGGGATTTATCAACACTCGGCCACGTCTGGTCTGAGTGGAGACGTTAAATGTCTCGTGTAGAGAGAGAGAGAGCACCACGCTATCTGCACGTCAAAGAACCCTTACAATTGCTCTGTGACGGTGTCCTTGTGTGGCCTGTTGCAAGGCAAATTTCTGTCCGTTTTCAACATTCCCTCATTTTCCGATGGCAAGTCAAGTTTACCCATTTTTGTGACCTACCAATTGTATTAATTGTTATTCTGTTTTCGTCCTGAAAATGCGTGACTTATTTGCCACTGGACATTAAACAAACTACATTTAATCAATCCATTAATCTTTTGCGATCCAAAAATTCGTTTCGGGTTTAATTATGTCCAGGAAGTGGTACTGGTGCGTCCAAAACATCTGTATGTATAAGGGTCTTGGTGGGTGGGTTTTTTATTAATTTCTGTTTTCCTTAAAATTTAAGGTCATTTTTCTCTATTCTGTAAATTTTTGCCCCATTTTGCTCTAATCTTTATATTCTAGCACCCCATTATTCTCCATTATTTATCTTTTTGCCTATTTTTCTCTAGTCTTTTTTTTTTGGTACATTTTCTGTAGATTTGACCCATTATTCTCTATTCCCCATCCAGAAATTCGTACTTCGAAAATAAACACTTGTATTACATATTTAGGATTATGTTTAATATCTAAACACATTTTGAAGTAAGCACAGGTCTTAAATATAAGCACTTCTAAATTTATTTTATACTTAAAGTATCTAGGTCTAAAACACTAATTTCTGAGCTAACCACGATCCTAAACACAATCCTAAGCACATTGTCAACCTAACAAAATTGAGAATGGAAATGGGGAATGTGTCAAAGAGGCAACAAAAAACATGTTTAGAACTGAGACATGTTTAGACTTAAATGTGTAAACAAGTGCACAACAAATCTGTTTAGAATTGTGTTTCGGATCTTAACACTATTTTTACAGTATGAATTATTTAGAATCTCTATATTCTCGATTTTGGAATTAAGCCTTCGGCCTTAGCCGTTTGGGTGATCCGCTCTGAAGACAGTGCTAGGAAGGAATTTGACTAGGGCGGTACATCTGTCAAAAGGTTTTCGATGTTGCTACTAAGATACGCTTAAGTCATGTATCATAAATTGTTATCTCTTGTGTACTTTCTGTTTTATACAGGTATGGGTTCTGGTGTGTCCAAGAACACTGCTGTGGCTAACGCTTTCCTCCACGACATCTACGTTAAATGTGAGGGAGATCTTAACTTTAATTCTGAGGAATGGACAAAATATTCTCTAGAAGTTAATAATACCTTAGTGGCGTTTACTAAACAAAAGGTAAATGAATCAGACATCGACCTGAAATCCAGTTACATGAAAATTAGTCCCGGAAATATACAGGAATTTTATCCAAATTGTTCAAAACGAGTCTACCTGACGATAATTCACCCGGATGAAGACAATTTTTGGAAGATTCTCTGCTGCATGTATGAGATACCGGAAAACCAAAATGTTGTAGTGGTGCATTCTGGGAGCGTAAAGGTAACGAAAGGACATTCACATTGGGTGGACAAGGAGGGATACAATCATAAAAATGACGTCACTAAACTTTTAAATTATCAAAATGAGGTCAAAGAACTGAAAGAACAGCACAAACGTGAAATATCCGAAATTCGGAAAAAGCATGGAGTCCCGAAATCATCTCCATCTTGAGGGCATGGGACAAATAGCAATTAAGGGTTGTTTGGTAGCAATGTTGATATACATTTATTACCAACAGTGCGTGCGTGCATTTCACTGAGAATATAGTGAAAATATGGAACACAAAAATTGTCTTTTTATGTCCATTTTCATTGTGTGATGTGTCTTTCCATTATATGATGAGATTTTTGAAAAATATATGATGCGTTCTTAATTTTGTATGATATGTGACGTGTGCATGGAATATTGTAATATGCACTTGACAATGTACTGAGAAATTATCTTTTTTCTTTATAATTGCATGAATTAAACTTTAAAGTGTCTGTACGTGGTTAGCCTTCTTAAATCAATGTAAGGACCGTTTCAAAATTTCAAAGTTTACAAAATATAAAAAAAAAGCATTAAAGATCCATACATTTCCAGGCTTAACCCACATATTAACTATTTTCATTTTCATTTGGAAAAATTTGAGATGTGGTCAGAGCTGAAATCCCTCTTCTTTGGTTGCTGTCACATCTGTTTAAAACATAGGAAAGTGTTTGGAGAATAAAACATTTTTATTCAATAGAATTATTTGTTATTTGAATTTTTTGCCTAACATCTAGTGGCCAATATTTCATGTATTTTCAGAATTGGAGCGAATTAAATTATCCATCAAACACGTTGCTACTTCAAAGTGTGCCATACGGGATGACGGGTGAGCAATTAAGGAGGGTCTAGATTGGGGTTAAAGAATTAAGAATAATGGGGGAAAAAACTACAGATTACTATGGGTGTGGGTTAACAATAAAAAACAGAAAAAGATCTAAAAAAATACAGAATTGAGGAATAATGGGGTGCTAAAATATAAAGAATATAGAAAACGGGAAAAAAATAAAGAATCGACAAATGGTTCAACAAGTTAAAGAATACAAAAATGACCCCCTCCCCATCATCCTATACAGACCCTCATTAAGCCTGCCACTGGAAAAGAGGAATTGTTAGATAGGGGCAACACGTATGCCTTGCAACAGACAACTCAAAGCGCCGTCGTACGTACTTTTAATACCAGGGGTCGGGTGTAACATCCCGATTCAAACTAGCCATGGCTTAGCATTTATGCACCACATTCTCTCCTCAGAATGGATTTAACTGCCAGACGGAAGAAAGCTATAATGATAATATCATGACAATTTAAAATCAAAAGCGTGAAGGTCAAGGTATCCATATGTCTTTAATACATTCATCCTTGGATTTACTGCTCCAAGGAATCTTGACAAACTCCGAAATAGTGTTACGTATTCTTTATTACGCAACGTCACCCCTATTTCGGATTTTGGATGGATGGCTGTTTAACGTTCAGCGGCAAATCAATATTCAGAACGAGAACATGTCAATGTAATATGAACATTAACCCTGCTTTGTAGTGGACCGACACGCTGAGCTGGTTTTTTAACATACTAGTTCACAAGGTAGCAGGAAGACATGTCACCCTACCCGGACACACTATTCCGATTCCGAACCGACCAGTATTTGCTCTTACTCATAAATGCTACGTGCTTAGCGGAGAAGTAGCAAATACAAATTTTAAAGTCCTTGGTTGCACCCGGCCGGGGTTCGAACCCAGGACCTCCCACACTCGAAGCGAGCACGATACCACGAGACTGTTTAATTTACAATAGAAAGGATATTGTAGTGTTGTAAGCATTCGCACATGATTTCATGAGCTCAACATGTCAAAGGTTGGGCAAACTATAATTATCTGGAGTTTGTTTATGTGGGGAAAAAAGGGGGGTGGGGGTAAATCAGGTATTCGATTACACAAAACGACAGAAATATATACCGGTAGATTTACATCAATTCAATTCGTTAAATTTCGACTACTAGTATATTCAATTTAAACCAATAAAAAGCTAGAGCTAAATTATGATCAGGGAAACTATCTGTACGACTAACTCTATCCATTTTCAGATTCTTAGCTGAAATTAAAAACTAATGATATTCTTTTTAGCCAGGAAATGTTTATGAAAATATCCCATCGAATATTAAATTATCGTTCACAGCTTTATTTCATTTATATAATCTAGACTTTTGATCTCCTGTTTTTATGTTCCAGTTTTAGGTAAAAGAGATTAGTGATAAGATATAACAAGTTATAATATATTTTAATATTTGAATTTAGTCAATCAATTCATTGTGAGCAAGTCTTATCATTTAAAAGCATTTATAAATCAATACTAGGTAACGGTTTTAAAAGTGAGTTCTTTTTTCAAACGAATGTTTTTATATGTTTTCGATGACCATCTATTAATCACTTCCACTCTGTAAATAAAATTGTAGAAAAAAACAAGATCTTGATGTTCCAATTATCTTTCTTTTCAAACATGATAACAAAAACCATCCAACAACCAAAGTTTAAATAATAAAAAAAATACCTGTTACGGTCCTTAAATCACAATACTGTTAATTCAGAAATGTTTGCAATTCTTGAACAATGCACAAAATGTGAGATTAATCATTTCGATTTCAGGAAAAAGTAGCTTGCTATGCGGTACTGGTTTTTCTCATTGTCGAAGGCCATACGGTTGCTTATAGATTCTAACTTCTATATCATTTGCAATTGGTCTCTGGTGTAGAGTTAAATCATTGAAAAACAAACATCTTATGTTTATACTGTATACAATATTACAAATAAGATTTTGAAATTTAAAGTATGAATTCTTGTCCCCCGTCGCAAATTTTGTAATAACTTAAACATAGCAAAATTATGAATTTACAGTATGTTATCAGTCAACGTCAATTTCTTCTTCTTCCTCAATTTCGTCACAAAAATCATCGGTCGTTGCATCTTGATACTGTTGGTATTCGGAAATTAAATCATTCATATTCGACTCCGCCTCGGTAAATTCCATTTCGTCCATTCCTTCCCCTGTATACCAATGCAGAAAAGCTTTCCTTCGGAACATTGCGGTAAATTGTTCGGAAATCCTCTTGAAAAGTTCCTGAATAGCAGTGCTGTTCCCAATAAATGTACCAGACATTTTTGTTCCCTTCGGAGGAATGTCGCAGACAGCAGTTTTCACGTTGTGTGGAATCCATTCAACAAAATACGAACTGTTCTTGTTTTGAACATTTAACATTTGTTCATCAACTTCTTTCATTGAAATATGTCCGCGGAAAATAGTAGCAACAGTTAAATATCGTCCGTGTCTCGGATCACAAGCAGCCATCATATTTTTGGCATCGAACATTTGTTGTGTTAGTTCCTGAACGGACACTGCTCTGTAGTCTTGGCATGCACGTGACGTCAGTGGTGCAAAGCCGGGCATAAAGAAATGTAGACGCGGAAACGGTACCATGTTTACGGCCAGTTTTCTTAAATCAGCGTTTAGTTGTCCAGGAAACCGTAAACATGTTGTAACGCCAGACATCGTTAAACTAACCAAATGGTTTAAGTCACCGTATGTTGGAGTTTTTAATTTAAGCGTGTTGAAACATATATCATAAAGAGCCTCGTTGTCGATGCAGTATGTCTCATCTGTGTTTTCAACTAACTGATGAACAGACAATGTAGAGTTGTACGGCTCTACAACTGTATCAGATACCTGAAAGTAACAACATAAATAAAAATATTATGAGTGTTCGTTATCAACTCGTCTGCTTAAATTTAATTCAGTCTTAAAAGATGTATAAGTATACCACTGGAATATAATTATCCGATTTAAGATTGTTATCCGCTATAATAGTCACTCGTCCTAACAGTAAGATGCAGGAAGTACTTTGGCACCGACCATTCTTATTTTGTGTGTGTGGTAGTTGGGTGGATCTAAGAACACACATTTGTTTTAAACTATAATAAAAAAAAACCAAAACAATAACGCACAGGAACAAGAAACATTTTTGAAACTCAATGCCCCCTTAAAAATCTCATTGGAAACACACAATTTTTTTATTTAAAAAAATTCGAATCAAACAATTTATTTAAATAAAAACTTGTCCTTCCGAAAAAAAAAAGTGAATGGTCGTTGCCCTGTCGTCTGTAATTGTTCAAAAGCCTTATACAATACGAAAGAACATTTAGAATGAATTGCGAAACATTGCGCTACACGTGACGTGTTGATATGTATTTCAAGAATTAACTGTTAATGATATTTGTTAAAGAGGTGTATCCGTTTGTATTAATGTTATAATGTCACGGTGGCAAAAGTCCATTAATTTCAATTGCGTTAACGGATCCAACATGTTTTTTTTTTTAGTTTTCTAGCCGATTTAGGAAACTGTAACGGGACAGGTCAGTTCAACGTACATCGGTACATCCTATGTCCACAGGTCCGTAACCAAAATTGAAAACACAGACTTGAAATAAACTATACACAATCCAGAGTATGAACGTATCCGCCCCGTAACTAACTTAAATTATTCACTTTTGTGGCAGAGCAAACGGTGATCGGCGAAATATAACGACCGACATTGGCAATCCCTTTACCATTTCAAAAATGCGCATGAAAAAGCATACATTTACTAGCTCGTGACAAAAATATTACTTTCAAGTACTATGTGTCATACTCAACTCTGTAATGATAATCTTTCAACGGTATATTTTTTTACTTATAAAACAAAGAAATAGTGTGCTTATGAATGTGTTTGTCGTTCAGTTTTTTTTCAAGATTCAAACGAACAAATTTGCCATTTATATCTTAAAGTGTAACATGATTGTCATGAATACACATCTTTGTCACAAACTACAGCTATTAATTTAAGTTGTTTGTTGTGACAACATCTGTTTAGTCTCGTTTGTCATAATGTTTTAGATAAATGTACCTTCATGTAAGAAATAAATTAACGCGGACATACACTGCGTTAAAAATACAATTTGAAATGTGTGTATATAAGAGGCAGAGAAAATTACCCCTAAGTTTATTACACACTAGGGTCATTTTCAAAAGGTCTTCCACTCTTTACTTGAATTCATACTTTCACAGCTTTAAGATTCTACCAATACTTTGGCTTATTTCTGCACACTGTATAATTATATAGTAAGTCTGAGGATAGCCCCAATCACAATTTGACAGATTTTGAGAAAATGTTTCATATTGTCTCAAATATTCAAAAAAGGACATCATTCATAACAAAAAATATGTTTGCAGTAACAAAGCTATATATTGTCCTCAGGAAGCAAATTAATTCCCTTTGGTCAGATACGTTCTCCGAGGCAAAATTTAAAAAAAAACTTGACGTGTAAAATTTACAATTTTGTATCACAACGAATTCAGCAGCAGCTTGTAAGACAAATCAAAGTTTTGATGAAAAATTGCTGAAAGATGTGTTTAACTACATGACTCATTTAGCATATTATATATCAAATTATATTATATTAAAATTCCAGTAGGATTTTAAAACTTTTAGATATTGACACTGTGAGTAAAAACAAATACTGGGGAAATTGTTCCTGCCTCTTTAAGATATTGTCACTGTGAGTAAAAACAAATACTGGGGAAATTGGTCCTGCCTCTTTAAGATATTGTCACTGTGAGTAAAAACAAATACTGGGGAGATTGGTCCTGCCTCTTTAAGATATTGTCACTGTGAGTAAAAAAAAATACTGGGGAAATTGGTCCTGCCTCTTTAAGATATTGTCACTGTGAGTAAAAACAAATACTGGGGAAATTGTTCCTGCCTCTTTAAGATATTGTCACTGTGAGTAAAAACAAATACTGGGGAAATTGTTCCTGCCTCTTTAAGATATTGACACTGTGAGTAAAAACAAATACTGGGGAAATTGTTCCTGCCTCTTTAAGATATTGACACTGTGAGTAAAAACAAATACTGGGGAAATTGTTCCTGCCTCTTTAAGATATTGACACTGTGAGTAAAAACAAATACTGGGGAAATTGTTCCTGCCTCTTTAAGATATTGTCACTGTGAGTAAAAACAAATACTGGGGAAATTGTTCCTGCCTCTTTAAGATATTGACACTGTGAGTAAAAACAAATACTGGGGAAATTGGTCCTGCCTCTTTAAGATATTGACACTGTGAGTAAAAACAAATACTGGGGAAATTGGTCCTGCCTCTTTAAGAAATTGTCACTGTGAGTAAAAACAAATACTGGGGAAATTGGTCCTGCCTCTTTAAGATATTGTCACTGTGAGTAAAAACAAATACTGGGGAAATTGTTCCTGCCTCTTTAAGATATTGTCACTGTGAGTAAAAACAAATACTGGGGAAATTGTTCCTGCCTCTTTAAGATATTGTCACTGTGAGTAAAAACAAATACTGGGGAAATTGTTCCTGCCTCTTTAAGATATTGTCACTGTGAGTAAAAACAAATACTGGGGGAATTGGTCCTGCCTCTTTAAGATATTGTCACTGTAAGTAAAAACAAATACTGGGGGAATTGTTCCTGCCTCTTTAAGATATTGTCACTGTGAGTAAAAACAAATACTGGGGAAATTGGTCCTGCCTCTTTAAGATATTGTCACTGTGAGTAAAAACAAATACTGGGGAAATTGGTCTTGCCTCTTTAAGATATTGTCACTGTGAGTAAAAACAAATACTGGGGAAATTGGTCCTGCCTCTTTAAGATATTGTCACTGTGAGTAAAAACAAATACTGGGGAAATTGGTCCTGCCTCTTTAAGATATTGACACTGTGAGTAAAAACAAATACTGGGGAAATTGTTCCTGCCTCTTTAAGATATTGTCACTGTGAGTAAAAACAAATACTGGGGAAATTGTTCCTGCCTCTTTAAGATAAATACTACTTGATATTCTCTTCAACACTTTATGTTAAGATAAGTTTCTTTTTTTTCTGAAATTACTTGAAATATTAGAAATCGGGCGTTTGAAGAACTGTCAATCAATTAAGTTTCAAAATAAACTTGAAACTCTCAGATCAATGAACCTTCGATTGATAGTTACATCATCTAAAAGATGCTACTCTAATAATTAATTTTTTAAATGTTAAATTATGATTTCGTATACCTGGTATATCTTTTAACAGTTTGAAACTGCTTGTTATAGTACTTTCTCATCCTTTCACCGAATAACATAAATGTATAATGTGTAACAATTAAGCGTACAGCAAAAACAGGAAAAAATCGCACAAAAGCAATCATTTCTGATTTTTTTCTCATGCGTATTAACTGTATAACTGTTCTAATTTCATTCTAATGCGGAAATTGCAAAATCAAATTTAAAAAAAAAAAGAAAAAGAAAAAGCAAACAAAAGCCATTATTTTGTATTACACTAAGCTTGCCTTCGGTGACGGAACAACAGAAAATGTATTCATTATTCTATCCGGGTATTCTTCTCTAATTTTGGAAATGATCAGAGTTCCCATACCGGATCCGGTTCCTCCTCCCAAGGAATGGCAGAGCTGGAAACCTTGGAGACATTCACAGGATTCCGACTCCTTTCGGATCACATCCATTACGTTATCTACCAATTCCGCTCCTTCTGTATAATGGCCTTTTGCCCAATTATTTCCGGCTCCAGCATAACCAGCGACAAAATTATCCGGTCGGAACAACTTTCCATAGGCACTTGATCTGGCATAATCGAGTGTTCCTGGTTCTAAATCAACAAGAATCGATCTCGGAACATAATTCCGGTTTGATCCTTCCTTATAATAAACATCAATTCTTTCTAATTGTAAAGCTGAGTCACCAACATACTGTCCGAACTCATCAATTCCATGTTCACCAGAAATCATTTCCCAGAAAATTGAACCTATTTGATTCCCACACTGTCCGACTTGTAAATGCAGAATTTCCCTCATTTTGAAAAAAGTTAAAAAGTTTACGTTTCAATCTCTGGAGGATAATTTGAAAATGAATACGTTTTCTTACCAGTATGTTGCAAAGAGAGTTTATTACATCATACAAAAAGTCTACATTTTGGCACGTGCAGAAATCACAATCTGCAAATATCTGTCATTTTTTCTTGAATTACATTCCAATATTACAAGCTATAGCTTTCAATCGTCTGCTGCATGTGAGAATTATGTCTCGCGCCAGATGTGATACGTACATCGTCTGCCCCGATTATTCATTACCGGTAAATGAAGAATTTGTACAAAAATGACAAAGATGAATCAGGAAATTTATGCGATGTTAGGTACAAATGAAAAAAATGCGACCTAAAGCAACAACCCTCTGTAGGGTGCACCCAAAGCTGCAGTTAATACGAATTGTCTAGGAAGCATTTTACCCTTTATTTTTATTGGACTTTAAAAGAAAATGAATTAGGAATAATTGCATTCGAATGTTCACATCTCCGCGACGCACAGTGAGGGACATACATGACAGCCGCGCGTTCGTCCGTCCGTCTGTTGTATGTTGTTAAATGCGATAAGCAATCTCATTCAGAACTAAAATTCGTAATGATTTTTGTAATAAAATTTATATGAAAGGTTTTTATCAACATCAACTTATATAAATATGATGGTATTTTTACAATGAAAAGTCAATACTTCGTGATTCGAGCAGATTTACTCCCGAGATAACTGAATGGAAATGTTCTGAGTATTGGCTGGAGTTATTCCCCATGATTGCATGTGGCTAAATTCAAAGAAACCACTCAGCATTAATCAAGTGACATTTAACACATAATTATGTTGTGTCCACAAAGCATGTGCCATACGAAAGGGGACATTGTAACGATGTACTTATTCTAATTTTAAAGCGTATTTAAAAGAGGATGTGGATGGGGTTTACAGAAATGAAAATGATGGGCAAAATGTGCAGAATAAAGGTAAAAAATATAAAGAATAGAGAAAAATGGTCTAAAAGATTAAAGAATACAGAAATTAAGGACCCCATCCTGACCCTCTTAAAACGGTTACTATGTACCCTATTTGAAGTATGCATATTATTATGACCGTATGATGGATTTTAAATGTGATTGTTTTACCTCGAGTTGTTGCTTGTTGTGTACAAATTTAAACATCTCATATTTTATTCTTTATACATTTTTGTGTACTTTTGTTTTTTATCAACTATACTGATTTTCTACTCTTTTTAAAAAAAAATTCTATGATAAATAAAGTACTATATTATACAATTATCACTGTTTAAATTTTACTGGTTATATTTCGTGAGAAAAAAATCGCGGCCTCTTTCATTACGCAAGCTCACTGTTAACATGGCCTTCCTTTCATTATAATTTCCAATTATAACTGTTTCATCGTGTCTACCACTACAAAGGTTTACATTTTACAATGTGACACTCTACCCTCTGGCCAGATGTTAAGAAAGCTGTATCTCTATTGTATACAGCGCGTTCGCATTGAGTTTTCAAAAATAATTATTGTATATTACTCTTGCCTGGTAGGGTTGTATGATTTAAATTCGAACACGAAGGGACCAAACCGGTTTTAAGTGGTAGATTGGATGTAAATGATAATCAATACAGTTACTAGTAATACACGAAGAGACCAAAACCGGTTTTAAGTATATGTAAGAGAATGATAATCCCTTTCTTCATGATTACGTACGAGCGTTAGCGTAAGTGGTAGATTGGATGTCGATGATAATCAATACGGATACCAGTTACAGTAGTACACGAAGGGACCAACACCATAGTTGTTCTTTACGTGATAGATTGGATGTCGATAATAATAACTACGGATAGTATTTGTTTTTAAAAAGGTGTGACTGAGCTGTTTTAAGGTTCATGTGGACCCTTTGGCTAAAATGGCTGCGTTTTCACCTCAAAATTTACTCCGAGTGCAGACAAACCTGTGCATCTGGAAAAGTTTTAAGGCATAGCTTGCATAGAATACCAACAGTTGTTGTGTCAGCGGCTACTGCCGTGGACAGGCAGTTATTGAACATCCAGTAATCCGATGTGCTTCCAATTTTACGTTTAAGGACCTGTTCTAAGAGATTAAAAATAAAATGTTTCGTTCGATGTTCACTGACACAGTAATATTTTGCCAAATCCTCGGCATCATCCAAAAGTTGATGAAAACAAATAGAATTTTGAAATAAATAGAAGAATGTAAATGCTGTATTAAAAAAAGTTTCCAACATTCACATATACCAATGAAATAAAAATGTTATTCAGCGCACTAAACGCTGCCATTTTGTTGGAGAGTTCAATGTACTTGTTATATTTTGCATCCAAAATCCGCGGAGGTATCCGAATCCTGAGGTGCTATTACACATTGTTTAGTCCAATTTGTAAGTACAATCTGGATATGATTCCCACGGAGCATAATCATCGGGATTTTGATCCCTATACCCGGTTGGCTTAAGGCAATACCAATTTTATATCTGGCTCATTGGATTTTCAAGCTCCTGTTTTGGAGGAATTCACTTTTAGAAATTCAAAAAAATACCGCTTCCGTAATTTCATGGTCCGCATGCCGCTCCGAATTTAATTTTGCTTTAAAATATTTTTTTTTATTGCACAAAGGGAAACAAGTAGAAGTCATTTCCGGGCATTAGGTTGGCCTTTTGTGAACCCTATACTCGGGCGAGAGGCGTTGACCTTTGGTGGCTGTGATTGAATGTATGGATATAATCTAATTATATATGAAATTTATTGATGAATTACTGCAGTGTGTATGTTTACAATAAAGCACCCAAACACATGAAAATATTTTCTTGAGAATTATTCGAAAAGGCTTCGAATTTTTATAAATTTGTTGTAAAATGCCTGTTGCTATGGATACTATAAACAAGCTCACTTAGCAGATTGTCATGCCACCATTTGACGTCAACAGAATAATAAAGAACTAGCATCACACATTACTGTCTTGTCCTTGTTTTTATTATAAAAAGTGGCAAATTGGAAAATGTTAGTATGTGGGAAAAGTACTGCCGTTTTTCCTAAAATGTTCCGATCGTTTCAAACGCACATGTGATACTTCGATATGTAAACGAAAAGTCAAAACCGGGAATACCAACAGTTGTTGTGTTAGCGGCTACTGCCGTGGACAGGCATTTATTGAACATACACAGTGGCGGATCCAGAACTTTTTATAAGGGGGGCCCTCTAACTGACCTAAAAGGGGGGGGGGGCTCCAGTCATGCTTCAGTGATTCCCTATACAATCAACCAAATTTTTCCCACAAAAGGGGGGCGGACCCCCCACCCAGGGCCCACCTAGATCCGCCTATGATAAAGTAATCCGATGTGCTTCCAATTTTAAGTTTTGTTTTAAATATCCGTCTTTTTCATTTTATTGTATTGAACCTCATAATTTGCAAAAATCTTTTAAAAGTGCAGTTTTGCGCCATCTGAAAACATTTGTAAAGATAGTAAATAAGATATACGTTTAGAAATAGGACATTATATTTGTATAACCTGATAGTACAGATATGGACTGAAAGGTTTTTTTATAATGGCCTTAGTGTGAAACAAACTCAGACGTTGTTTGTCCCTTTAAAATTCCTATGATAGATTATTAGCCGAGTCCATATTATTGTGTTAACTGCAGAAGTTAAATGGACGAACAGTGTAAATTTGCAAGCTCAGTGCGGACGGGTACTATTAAAAACAATAGTTTTATCTTTATCTGATCTTCAGTTCATTGTTTACAAAATTCTTACGCTGCGGAAGTTTTTGCTAAAAAGGCTGTTGAGGAAATATTTACAGAATACGACAGGATTTTGGGTGAAAGACAATGTCATAGAATCCCTAACAACACAAAAGAAAGAAATTTAAGAGCATTGATGAGGGTCTGGGTGGTGTTTACAGATTAGAGAATAATTGGCAAAACGTGCAGATTAATGGGCAAAAGTATAAAAAATAGGAAAAAATACAAAATACAAATACAAATATTTTATTGGCACAAACACAATTACAATAATTGGCAAAGGCCCATATTTCAGTACATTATAACAATGAATACAGCATAATGAAATAATATGTTATAATTAAGAAGCTAAAATCTCATTTCTATATACCAGACATTTATGTATATAAGAACTTGTCACTTTCAGGACTTGTCACTTTCAGGACTTTTAAAGAGTTGCTATTAATGCAACGTTTCATATTTAGCTGACTCTCACTACAACTTGTAGGAAGTATATTTAATATAATAGTTTTAAAGTTTATTCTGTATTTAGAAAATTTTTCACAATCCAGTAAAAAGTGATTTTCATCTTCTACCTCACTCGATTTACATACATTACAAACTCGTTCATTGGTGGGTAAACCTAAATGTCGCCCTTTTTCTATAGCAAGATTGTGTGCACTCAATCTTATTTTACACAGAGATGACCTTTCTAATTTATTACTTAGAACATCAACATAAGAACTATGCTGATTTGAATTATGAAATTGTTGATAAAATTTTAGTTTGGATGAATTGTAAATTTTTGATGATTGATCCTGTGTGCACTGATCAATCACTCGTTGTTTAATACTTGATAGATATTGTTTATTAGAAAAGTTTCCCCCAGCTAGGTTTGAAAATTCTAGATTGTTTAAAATAGAATAAAGTTTCTTCGTCCAGGGGTTATTTTTTTCAGTTGCCAGAAAAATTTTGGATACAAGTGTGTTTTCAGACCTTAAAATATGTTCAAAAATTTAATAGAAGACAATGAGAAAAAATAAAGAATAGAGAATAATGGTGTGCTAAAATAAAAAGAAACCCCCTAAAAACAGAGAATAATGCATAAAAAATAAAGAATACAGAAATAAAGGACCCCCATCAAGACCCCAATTAATAGGTCAATATATGGTCATCAATGACATTTATTTATGAAGTAACTATCTGTTATCTTGTCTGAAATTTATATAGACCATGCAATCGAAACTTTTTATTTCAAATGATTGGCTAAATACTAGTATTAGGGAGCTACCATTGGATTTTTATGGGGGGGCTAGGATGAAAAATTTTGTCCTGCATTTTTTTTTAGTTGTAATCTCTGTCCTGCCTTATTATTTTTCACTCTATTCGGTCCAGCCTTTTTTTTAAAAGTTTATCCTGACTTTTTGTTACCTAAATTGTCATCCTGACTTTTTTTTTTTGCCAAGTTGCTCATCCTGCCTTTTTTTTTTACTCAAAACTCCTGTCCTGCCTATTTTTTTCAAATTTCATCCTAGCCCCCCCCCCCCCCCCCCCCCATAAAAAT